CAACTTTTATTCACTCCAAATGGTCTGTCTCAAATAACGTCTGCTTCACCTTCTCAAATGACTTCATTGACTGTATTACTGTCAAATGTCGCCCCAAACATCTCCCCAAATATAAACAAATCTATATTACAAACATGTACATTTCTCCTAGTTGCTCTCCATCTGATCTATCTAATTTTGCTGATGAATTCACCATGTTTGCTGCTGCCAACTTCGACAACTCTCTATCCGTTATTACTGGGGACTTCAACACCTCAGATTGCTCCTTTCTTGAAGCTCTTGGTCACACAAACATAGTCAAATTTCCCACTCGACTTGACAAAACACTCGATCTAGTTTTTACTAATGACGAAGGAGTATATGAAACACGTAGACGTTCACCGATACTAAACTCAGATCACTGCATTGTCCGCGTTTTGCCAAAAATATACAGCAAAACACATATTAAAATCTTCTCACACCTGTCTACGAAAGCACAACAAAGATGCTACACATCTGACAACCTACTCAATCTAAGATGCATGTTAAAAAATACTAACTGGGATTTATTCTATGAAAGTACATTAGATGACTCAATCACCAATATAATGGATTATCTTAAGTTCTGCCTCGACATATGCTGTCCCAAACAAACACTGTTCAAACGCCTCGACCGCTTCTCGTCTCCCCATCTCAAACAACTTCGCAGGCAAAAAGAAATGTTATATAAATGCAAAGACAAGTTAGGACTTAAAAAGATTAATGCTCAAATCAAATCTGAAATCAAAAATCTTAATGCTATCTATAACCAAACACTTTTATCATGCAAATCTCCTATCAGCATGTGGAAATTTTTCAATGAAATTACTGGCAATAGTAAGCGATGTAATGTTTTTCCCTCTTGTGATGTTAATGCTCTTAATCTGTCTTTTATACGCTCTCCTTCTACTATAACCACTTCTAACGTTACTAATCTTGTAGCTGATAACTTCCAGGACTTTAACACTCTTGATGTTTTAAAATGTCTTAAAACTCTTAAGCCCTCACATAGTCTTGGCCCTGATGGCATACCTGCATATGTTCTAAAACAATGTGCAGATGCTTTATGTTCTCCTCTAACTAATATCCTAAATGCTTCTTTCTCCGAAAACGTTGTACCTGTTCCATGGAAAGACATTAAAATAGTCCCTGTCCCTAAACCTGGCAATAGCAAGAACGTAAAGTTCAGACCCATTGCCATCACTTCCCCGTTTCTAAAGCTCATGGAAAAACTAGTACTTCTTAAACTCGAACCCTCCCTTAAAAGCTTCGAAGACCCCAAACAATTTGCCTACAGACAGGGTAGGAGTACTTTAGACGCTGCAGCCGTCTTACACAACAGTATTGTCTCATCATTAGATAAAGGTGCCAAATATGTCCGCTGCACGTTTCTTGACTTCACTTCTGCTTTCGACTCTGTACCTAGATGTCTCTTGCTAAATAAGCTCTCCATGACACAAACCGAGTCCTGGGTCACTAACTGGTTGCATTCCTACTTTTCAAACAGAATGCAGTACACCGTATACAAAGGCGAATCCTCCTCTGCTGTGCTCACTGAAGCTGGTGTCCCCCAAGGTGCTGTACTCTCCCCACTTCTCTTTTCATTCTTTCTACATGACCTACCATCTTCAAATGACATTAACTTTGTCAAATATGCTGATGACCTAACTGTATCTTTACCTGTCAAATGTCAAAGTGACTGCTCTAAACTAAATGGCTTCTTATCAGAAATCAGCCAATGGTCCAAGGAAAACGGTCTCACCTTAAACCCCTCCAAATGCCAAACAGTTAATTTCACCTTTAGGCATAAATCTGACCTAAACAAACTGGTTAGCACTCACGAGGTGTGCAACATAGATGGCACTGAAATTGAAACCAAGTCGGAAATTAAATACCTAGGCGTCACTCTATCTTCTGATCTTTCCTGGTCGTCTCATATCTTGACGATTTCCAAGAAAATATTCCGTCTTACCTTCTACATCAAGAAGTTAAGACATTCTGGTGTAACCCAACCCTTACTCCTACAATTTGTTAACTCCCGTATTCTGCCTATTATTCTCTATTGTTCCCCCTTAGTCTTTCCTGGGCTATTGAAGAAAGACTATACCTTATTACGTAGGATGTTAAAGGTTGTCAGCAGGGTAAGCAGTTTGCCACTTAGCCAGCTTGTTAATATTCTGGTGGACAGGCACATGGACTCATGTGAAAAATGGGCGAAATCCATTTTATCTGACTCACAACACCCTCTACATTCACAACTCTCCCCATGTATCTCTTCAGGGAAAACCAGAAGCCTATATAGGAAACTATATGCCCGCACTAGTAAGTACAAAAACTCATCCATACCCTACCTAGCTCGTGTTCTGTGCGATAAAGAAAGCATTAGGCGTGAAACCTTTAACTTATTAAATAGTCAGTAGACAACTGGATCTCGTCTTTCCAACTCACATCATTTACAGGTACAACGTTTTCTCTCTACCTTTTTTTCTCTTTCTGTATTTATTTTTGTTATGTGCTGTTTTGTTTCTCTCTTCCTTACAAACTCTACTTAAAACATTCTTGTTCGTTCTTTCACACTCTGTATATCTCGACCATTTTGCTATCGCTTACGCCAGTAAATATGCTAGTAGTATCTACTTTTCTAACACCTTCAAACACTGTTTAAATTTTGGCTTTGCTACCGACATGCTAATATGTTGTTGTCAAAACTGACTGAGATAACTTTAATCTATGTAGAACTTTATTTATTGTTAATGTACTAACTGGATGCAATATTGTAGTAAAATGCTGAGAATTCCATTCTGTATCACAAGTACTGATTTGGAATAAAGCTATTATCTTATCTTATCTTGTTTCTTTTCTTTCCTTTTTTCTATTGGCTATTAGATAAGATGCTTTCTTTAGTTATGTAATCTACTTTTATGTTATGCTCTTTCTAGCTAAACCTTGTTTCTACACACACACATATATACACAACCCTGTTTTTTGTTTCCAATTGTGTTTGTAACTCCTAATCAGTTAAATCATTCCGAACTAATGTTACTTTTAATTCCTACCAATTACTCCTTATGATCGTGGAAAAGTATGTTCATATCTTTAATGTAATTCATATTTTTTAACGTTCAGGTTGTAACCAGTTGACAAGAATCCTCAAAATAATAAAAGATGAGCTCGTATTATCCTGGTACAATTGTTGTTCTTGCTTTGTTCAAGATATCTTTATGTCAAACCTTGAGAAAACAAAGTTGAAGCATGCAATTGATCAAACAACTTCCTATTGTCGATATGTCGATGACACATTTGTAGTATGCAACAACGGAAGTCGTGCCTCCTACCTACTCAGTCTATTCAACAACGCACATACAAATGTTGTATTTACTATGGAACATGAAAATGATGGGAAGTTCCATTTCCTTGACGTCGCCATGCAACGCCTAGAAGATGGTAGTCTCCAGAGGTCAATCTACCGAAAGCCCACATGGAATGGACAATACTTACATTTTAATAGTTTTTGTCCAAATAGCTAGCTGTAAACGAGCACTAGTCAAGACTGTACTATAGAGCGAGGAGAATATGATCTGCAGAGAAACTAGAGGAAGAATTTACGAATCTTGAAAAGGTGCTAAAAAACAACAGCTATCCTCAAAGATTCATTAACAAATATGGAATATGTGAAGGCTCAAATACCAAACAAATCACAGTTGAAAAAAAGCCTGTCTTCATTTAACTAGATTTTAAAGGTGAAGAAATTGCAGAAATGGTCAACAGAAGACTGAGAACGTCACTAGCCAGAGCCTATCCTGCAGCTAAGTTGGTTCCCATCCATCGAACAACATGCTCTTTGGTGCAGTCAAAAGTCGATAGATACCCTTCTCATGTTAATCCCAACTGTGTATACAAATTTACGTGTATCTGCGGGAGCAGTTACATTGGGAGAACAGAAAGAAGGGCACACTTCCGATTTTCTGAACATGTGCCGAAAAGCCTACGTCTCAAGGGAACAAACTCTTATAGTAGCGCTATTACCAGACATCTCCTCAACACGGGTCATGAGGTGGAAATCGAGAAATCCTTCAAAATTATCAATAGACAAAGGAGCTCCATTCTCCTCAAGTTTGCCGAAGCAATTTCTATCAAACGCTTGAAACCAGATTTATGTGTTCAGAAAGAAGCAGTTATTAGTCTTTCCTTGTCTTGGTAACTGTGTATCTTTTTTCTCTCATCTGATTGCGTAATCCTTGTCCTCAACTTCACCCTCCTATTATGATCCATAATTTTGTTTGTCTCCTGTTTCTGTGATTTGAGTTCAACTCAGTACATTGTTACTTAACTTATTAGTCACTATGCATCTAACGCACATCTCATCTTTATTATGTAACTCCTTTACTATTATATGTATACATTTATTTTGTTTTAACTTGAACTGCCTGTATAAAAACTATATAGGCGCAATTTTCTGAGCACTGTTTACTAATTGTGGAACTTTCTGTCAACTGACAACATGTAAAATTTGCAAGTATGTTAAAACGTTTCTGTACATAAACCTCATAAGTTATTTATGCTGTAAGCAACTGATGAGAAGCCAACGAAATAAATGATGGTACCATATTATTCTGCACAAACCACTTTTGTTCTTGCCTTATACAGCCTCTACTGTTGCTCATTTCTGGGGAACGAAAGAATACTATAGAGGATTATTTCATTACGCAGATCTAACATCACTACGTCATTTGATGTACTGGGGATGGCTTTCTTACATTAAACTCCTGGATGACGTGAAAATATTATGCAGTAAAATACGCTGAAAATTATGCATATTGTGTAATTTTATTGTGCAGAATAAAGATATTGTTATTACTATTGAAAACATCAAGTCTACTGGACAATAGTAAACAAAGTTGCATATATCTGAGAAAAAACTCTTAACTTACACTTACACACATACAAAAAAACGATATTCATAGACTTTTAAAAAAACTTACTTTGGAGTTACTCAGTTTAAGTAATTAATTCGAGAGACTTCGCGCTACTGGTGTTGTTGCTGTTGTTGTTGTTCACCTTCATTATTTGGTTCATTAGTTTGAGGAATAGGTTGTACTACTAAAGTTCCAGCAATTATATCGTAAGTACACCGGTGATATTGAAACAACATCATACAAACAAATGAAAAGAAAGTAAGGAAGTTTGTACTCTTCAGCAACGAACGTACTAGTGCTCTGTCAAAATAAAATTGAAAGAAAAAAAAAAGATTTCGATTTATTTTTTGGCTTCTAAATCATCAAAGCTTATACAAAATAAAAAGAAGCCTTACAACGTTATGACTGTGAAATGAATACATTAATTGGTGTATTTTACTAACAGATTCCTGGAACGACGACTATCTATTAGTGGAATATATAACATAGAGTTTTCTTTGTATTTCGCCTAGTTGACAATAAAAGTCTCTATATACTTGACTGTTGTTAATTAACAGTCTAGCAAGCAGTGCTCCTGTAATTTAAACGGTGGATGTTAATTCTAAGGTTAGGAGTAAAGACAGATAAGCGCCTGTAGGAGGATATAGCTACACTGAACTGATGAGTCATTGGCCGAAATAAACTCATCTCAAGGATATCACTTCAGTCATCCTTTAAATACTATAATAATGTAGCAATCAATCAACACCAGTGACTTTTTGATTGGACACTAGTAACTAGTGTGATGTGTTTAGTCCTTTGCTTGGTGCAAACTACTATTGGCTTTGTCATTTCTTTCGCCAACTGAATACTAAAAAGTATTCACCATAATTGTCTAGTCCTCTTTTCAATAAGTCAATAAAACCTCAACAGCAAAATATTACTGTCATAAGCAATACCATCAGTGTGAAATGGCTTAATTTGTCATAGACCAAAACTGGACATAAAGTAAATAACATGTCGAATGAAAACCGTAAGATCATAAGTAGTAGAAAATTTTTTAAAAAGAGAACTTAACTGTCAACGTAGGGCTTGGAATAAAAGAAAGAGATCAACTGTTGACATTAAAACTTAGGAGGATAACTTTATATCATACGACCGTTCATCTCTAACCAGTGATTACACTGGCCTACACTTCCTTTTGCGATTCGCTCCCGCCAAATTTAAGATGGTGGTACAGGACTGGACTACACTGACTCCTAGCTTAGAAATGGTGGGTAAAGTGGTAGAGCACGTTGACCGCTTCACTCATTTAGGAAGTTGCATCAGCCAATGCCAACGGGTTGATCTCTGACGAAATCTCAGAATAGATACAGAAGGCTAGTTTCACACATACCAGTTTACGCCGTCTCTGCCGTAAATGTGATATCCGGCCGGCTGTTGACCGAAGGGCGTGTGTACTGCTCAGCAGTTTGCTCCGTCCTCCTTTATGGTCAGCTGTGAGACCTGGCCACTGAGAGTGGAAGACATGAAAATATTAGCTGTTTTTGATCATAAGTGCCTGCGTTCTATCTCCCGTGTGAAGTGGCATAATAAGGTGAGCAATATTGAGGTTAGGCGTCGAGTTCTAGGTAAACAGGGGAAATCAATCGACGAGGCTGTGAAATTACATCGACTAAGATGGTCAGGACATATGTTACGTATGCCTAGTCATCGCCTTCCTCGACGGGCAATGTTAGCTGACCACCTGTTTCTGTAAAAGTGTTTCTAAGGTTGAAGATGTTATTTAAGGCTTAGACACCATATACATATATATGCTGTTTCTTTTTAGTTTTTGCACGTTACAAAATGCGAAAAGGGTACCAACTTTCTATTATTAAAAACACAATGTAACTTTCATTTCTCAACTTTACAAAACACTAAGAAACTATGCAACAAAAGGAAAGTTCCCACTCACATGCTTACACATTATGCTGTAACAAACAACCCACTAATACACTTAAGTCTCGGCCAAAAATAATACAGCTCAATAAATGTATACAGCTTCAGCCGACAGGTTATAAGTAATACAAAAAGGAACTTACGACAACCAAATGCTTTATGTTGAGATGAACACATAGAAGTAATGGGAAAAGTCGCACTGAATTTAACTTACCGAATGATTCCCAAATCCGCGCCTGGGATTACTTCTACAACATCTGGAAAAGCTATGATTTCCTCACACGAAACGACTTTAAGGTTCATCAGCCATTTTCCCAAAGTCGCACCCCCAGGATCAGATCCAAAAATTGATCGTCTGATTAGCATAGCCTGAACATAATGGAATAAAAATTGACTTGTAACATTTCCAGTGTTTCAAGTTTCAAAAAGTAAATTTTATGGGTAGCTAACAAACGGAGAGTTAAACCATCTACATGTGAAAATTTCACCACTACTAAAAGCTGCTAAATACACTCCAAATAACCAGAGATTGTCCAAATTTGTGAAAAGCAGACACACGAAATAGCTTTTGCTTATAACACTTAATGACAGGTTTTGATATGCTTAATCTAAACTTTAGGGCTCATAGTATCTGAAATGTGGATAACTTTTTTAAACGCATACACTTATGAGTGAACCATATTTTGGACACAGTCATACCAATGTATTTGGACAACTTAACAACATGCCACATCTTATGACCTAATTTTAAACTTTATTATCAATAACCGCACTTAGTATAAAGGAAGTGCCGATAAAGATCAGCGCGAAATTTTTGAAAGAAACGCTTCTGATTACTAACTCTTACACTGTATTTTGTATTACAACCTAGAGGACCCAACTGAACTTACAAATATCAAAAGGATGCCCATTATTCCCTTTTCTATTCAACTTCATCATAGATGTACTAATGGGCTTAACCCTAAGTGACTTCAGCGACTCAGGGATTGACTTGCTACCAGGGAATAATCTCGTTGACTTGGAATATGCAGACGATTTAGTCCTTCTAGGCGAAGACGCTGACAAAATTCAGAGTCTTCTGAACACCTTGAGCAGCAATCTACGAATGTTTAGCATGCGATTCGCTCCCGCCAAATGCAAGATGATATTACAGGACTGGACTACATCGACGCCTAGCTTAAAAATAGGAAGCGAAGTGGTAGAGCACATTGACCGCTTCACTTATTTGGGAAGTACCATCAGCCAACGCCAACGGGTTGATCTTTGACGAAATCTCAGCACGAATACAGGAGACTCGTTTCGCATTTGCCAGTTTACGCCGACTCTGGCGTAGACGAGATGTTCGACTATCGACCAAAGGGCGTTTGTACTGCTCATCAGTCCGCTCCGTCCTCCTTTATGGTTGTGAGACCTGGCCACTGAGAGTGGAAGACATGAAAAGACTAGCTGTCTTTGATCATAGGTGCCTGCACTCTATTTCCCGTGTAAAGTGGCATAATAAGGTGAGCAATATTGAAGTTAGGCGTCGAGTTCTAGGTAAACAGGGGAAATCAATCGACGAAGTTGTGAAGTTACAAAGACTGAGATGGTTGGGACATGTGTTACGTATGCCAAGTCATCGCCTCCCTCGACGAGCAATGTTAGCGGATATAGGGTCAGGCTGGAAAAAAGCTAGCGGCGGTCAAACAAAAACTTGGCACCAGTCAATGAAATCCACGACAGTTGGTCTAAGCCACGTAGGAAGGTGTAGACTTCCAGGCTGGGGTCCTCGGGACGGTAAAACTCTATGGTTGGAAACAATTGGTGATATGGCTGAAAATCGTTCTCAGTGGCGCAGATGCATCCACTCCTTGTGACTTATGATTTCCAATGAAACTGTTATGTTCTTCGTTATTACTCTTTGCTCACTGTCTCTATTATGCTTTTCTTGTACTTTCTTCTCTTGCTTCGCGTGCTACACGAAGTGTGGCGACTTGAACTGCCGCACTTATGTGCAGTTCTATGTCGAAAACAGACAGACAGACAAATATCAAAAGCAGATCCGCTAATCCACAAAAAAGAACGATTCTAAATCCAAAGGACTAAACAAAATTGGAATAATTTCTTGACGCCTGAAGTCATTTATCACAAGAAGCGAACCTCATTACAACACAAAAAGTAGTTGCAGGGATTATGTTTGAGTTTTGCATACAAGCTAATGTCCGCATCAGTACTTAAAAACTTGGAAAAACTAAGCCACAATAACCTGTTTTTGTAAAAATTATAGAGATTATCTGCAAAAACCAACATAGCAGTTTGGATATCATGAAAAATATAGTTTTTAGGTTTAGAGAGGATTACAGATACATGGTGTGACAAATCAGCAGGTGACTGCTGTAATGACGACCACCTTTTATTGCTGTAATGTTGGATGAACCGACTACCCAATTAACACACCATATGAATAACTACATTTAACATCGATTTTGATTTGATTTTTGATTACAGCTTGATTCCACGCCGTATTTTTGGCACAAGTATGAAATTTTCAGCATGTGATATCAGTAGGCCAAATTCTGCAGGCCGACCATAGATATCAGGTGTGCATCGGCGGGGGGTCGAACCCTGGACCATGCGCATGGTCGGCGACAATCCTAATCGCTGTGCCACCGACGCTGTATACACTGAAATATATCAGATGAATAGAGTAGAACAATTCGAAAATCACAAAATTTATTTCTGAAACTATGACGTTAGGGAGTGAAATTAATAGCCGACCCCTCAGCGTGTGAAGACATGGTCTAGTGCTTAAAATTATAGTTAAGTTTCCTACCCAGCTCTAACTGTTGCATGTTTTGCATACCAAAAAGTTCCAAGATTACTAATATGCTATGGATGTGGATAAATTCAAAGTAGCTCTGTAAACTTTAGTACTTTATACGGTTATGAAGACGGCGTTGGCTGACTTAAGCATTTGACTTTCATACGATCGTTCATCAGTTGTGCTAACATCCAACCTACACTGAATGGATACTGGGAAAAAGCACTAGCCCATACACAATACGCGAATCAAGCTTGCGCATGGCAAATCTTTACGGAGAATGCCTCACTCCACAGGTGAGACAGGCCGTCAAAAGCACTTAGCCACATACGTCTTGGCAATGGTTACATGTAACAGAAGCAGGGTGGGTGAGCATTAGCTTATATTACAGGCAATTTGACGAGTGTCAAGTCAACTACTGAGGCTGTGATTTCTCATGCTAAAATGTTCCCCTTCTTTAACTGGCGATGAACTGGTCAATCAGTATGGCTTTTCAGCAAACCAAAGAGCAATACATGCACCTTGCAGGAAATAACTGGGCTTCCAAGTACCTTCAACGACTAGTGTTGAAAAAGCAAGTAGACGGAAAAATACGGAAAATCAAGTTGTATGCTAATTGTCGGTATTTACTCACGCTAAAACACAATTAGAACTAAATTTCACCATTACTATACGTGACACCGGAAGCTGATTGCATGTTTCACTTTTATTCCTAAAGCTGACAAAAGGTACGTTATACATAATTATCCAAAAGCTAGTGAATCATGCATAAAATTAGCGTTCTATAAAAAAACAAATTCCTACCATGAAAGACTACTGGTTAATGCTCCTTTAAGAATCTTTTTTGTGATTTCAACTCGGAAAGTACGTATGTCTTGGCGAACTTGATATTGCAAGCAGGCACATACAAAATCCTAAAAGCAACGAGTAGCAAAAGTTGTTCTATCCTTAATAAACCATCATTTTACTAAACTAGCTAAAGAAAACTCAACTATTTAAAAGTAAAAGAAACTAACTCCACAAAAATGTTTATTACCTCTAGAAGGGCGCTAAGAAATCGGCCAATCTGATCGACTAGGATTAACATTTCGAAATCGAAAAAATCTTCCCTTGCACCCATATGTGCGAAGAAGAACAACCTCCAAATGCTTGAAACTTGAAAATCTTTGCCACTGAATTCCGACTTCGCCCAGCCATGTGCGTGCCGTAGCGTTCGATATTCTGGGACACCAGACAGGATGTCTGAACCAATACTTTTAGCAAGCTCACTACATTTATCTACTAAGTTATTTATATAATGTCTTACATCACACTTGAGTCATTCCTGAAGAAATACAATACAGTCAGCTTTAGTATCATCATTATTGTAACATCTATGCATTCAGCTGCAATTCGACGACATGGGTGAGGTATTATGTAACGCCGAGCTAAAAACATAAACCATTTGCATTTCACTTACACTGTGCTCCTTGTCGTCCATCTATTTGCGAGGTGGTGTCATCAGTAGTGGTACCGCGGGAATACAAAGACTGAAACAACCCCATCTCTTGTTTGTACTTTTTAAGAGCAAGTGCATTTGCACTAAGGTATTTCTGTTGCTCCTGCAGAGATTTTTCAAGACGCCTTTGTGCACTGGCTATACCATCATACTGCTGGTTAACCCATCCCTCGAGCCTATCATAATATGAAGCCCAGTCCATCTTTACTTCTAACGGATTTTGACGCGGCAAACCTGTGAAAGCGAACAAGGTGCGACCTTGAGACGGAGCGCTTGCTGGTTCAGTATAAAATTACCCTCCTTAATAGTAATGTAAAAGTGGCTTTGCCACCTGATATATAACCACGATTATAATCAAAAACATTTTAGTTTTAATTGTATTTCATACTATTATTATTTTATGCATTCACACCTAAAACAGCAGTTGACTTATTGGAGGAGCAGATAGCTCCAGTCAATTTAAAGAGTCTTCCAATTAGTTTAACGTAGACTATCCGCTGGTTAGGCGATCTGACAGGCGTGACATTAGTGGGCTGCTGGCTGTGTGATGTCACAAACAGCAAACAATAACATGGGAACAAAACACACAAAAATAAAAATTAACGAACCAGTCAGTTAGACTGGTTGAACGACCCTGAGCCCACTTCCAGTTGGTTTCAAACAGAAATGAGGCTCACGATTCTTGTAGGGCTGTCTACCATGCTAGACCTGAGCTCTGGACACGCTGTCCGCTGACTCCTTAGCTCGTGCCGCCTAGCCTGTTGGCCAGACTGCTCTTGACAACCCCAGGCTATAGAAGGGAAAATATTGCCCCTACTGCTGTTCGAAGGTGTATTTATTAACGACAGTATGACCACAGCGCATAGATCCATAACCACACCACAATGCATAGCTGAGCTCTTATACCTTGAAAACCTAGCTGTACGCAATCCGATCCAGTCAGCTCAGATTAACAGACTGACCGTTGAAAATGAATTCGCTGAAATTAAAATGAATGGACGAATTTCTTTGATCCATTATAGCGGCCCCCTCAGGGACGCTGGGATATGTGGTGAAATACATGGGAGAAGCAAGTCTTACGGATCATAAAATATGTAGTTCCCCCTTGGTTACTCGTCTCATCCTTCTGAAAATTTTTAATCTTTAACTGTCTCTAAGTGGTCTTAGGTATTTTCGACTGATTTTGTTGAGAACAACATCTGATCTAACATCTCATTTGTGTTGATTATTGCCGTCCCAATGCTTTAACACAGTGAAACTCCTCTCAATTACCTCGCATAGACTCAAAATTGGATTCTCCACACTAGGTTTGGCCTCAGGCTCTTGCTAGGTTGAGAAAACCGCCTAAGGCAGACCCAAAACCACCTTTGTTGTGTGACTGGATCATACGAGTGTCAAACCGTGCTTCAGCCAATTGTCAGTGGTCGCATGTCTTGACCTCGAAACGGAGTCCCATATATCTTGATGACTAATTGGGGTTTGAAGTAACGATTTATAAAATTCAGGCTGCTTTTTAATTTCTGCGTGGTAGCAGCCTAGAGTCGAAACTGTTCAAATACCATTTTTTTACCGAAGCCTGACAAACGGAGTAGAACTATGACTGATAGAAGGTTTCACGTCACTGTATTCTGACCTCATCAAAAATTGATATCAGAGGTCCGTACTTGCATGACACTCGCTACCTATAATCACCGCTTCATCGAACATTTTCCATTTTTGACCTGTCTACTCCACTGTCTAACCAAGAAAGACTGTAAGGTGGTGTTGACTAGTCAGCTCTAGGAGGCGTTTAATAAGATATAAGGTGATGAACTTCTCACTTAGTGTTAACGTTTACGGGTATGCTCTATGCAGCCGATTCGTTCATCCAAGGCACTATCTTCAGAAGATGAGAGCTGTCATCTTGCAAGTGATACTTGATAGGCGAGAAAGAGCTGTCGCTCATACCCACCAGAAGTTGGATAAGAAAGGGGAGAAGTATCAGACGGCCCGTCACGGGGTGTTAGCCTTTGTATGCCTCCTAAATTATTTCCGACACTCTGTATAAAGGTACGAATCGCCAGTCAAGCCTAATTACAAAGAGCTGCAGCGACGAAAAAACTCTGTGATAGAGACGACTAGACTACTCGTTGGCAAGATCATTCGCAGAGGTCGGATTTCACTAGCGAATTTCGGACGAAAGTCTTCCACTGCAGTACTGGTGCTTTATCACGTATTCTGTGAACTGGTACACCGCTGAACACACTGCTTATTGCCACTGACGAAGTTGAAAGGGATTCTTTCCGAAAAACAGGACGCGTACGAGCTCTAGGTGTATGGGAATAATAATTTTTTGAGTCGCTGAATAAAAGAAATATCACTAATGTAACAATATCTACGGTCGGTTAAAAACATTCTTTATTTAGCTGAACTTCGGAGAACATTTAATATTATTGTGTAACGGGAGAAGATGAGAAACTTCGTAGGGGGCTTTCACTCAGGAAAAACACATTGTACCTAAACATTTTCCGCCATATCAACGCTCCGCTAGGTAAGAGGAGAATAAATTGCTCTCACTGGCTGTCACTTAGCCCAAGGGTAAGCAGGTTTCCCAAGGAGGAACAAATACCTATGCAGACACTGACATGATATGTTGATTTCAATTTTGACTGCTTCCTATCATTCGGCATCCTACTACAATAATACCCTGGTGGAATTCGCGATCCTTTGTGATGAAAATGCACGAAGAACATAAACATGCTGGGTCTAGCAGAACAGAATCCTCCATTCAGTGACGGTTAAGGTGTCCGTTGTTACATTATGATGCTGACAGTTTGGCTGACGGTGGAAAGACTTTCTGACGGATTCAGATAGCTGATGACAGCTTGGATAGTCACCATTCATCTCTCCTGGTGCCGGTCAAGTCCTCTTTGAACAAGCAATATCTGGAATGTTTTTGGAATTGGGTCAAGTTCAACAATGCCTGGGTCAAAGAAGGGACAGAGTGTCTTGGATGCAAACAGGAAAGTAAGTCATGGTGACTTGTCTGTTAATTGTAACGATGTGTCTGATGTTAAGTATGACATGGTTGATGTTACTGTTTCGCCGTTCACGGATAATAGGAACATCAAACTCCCTAAATTTGAACCACGGTGTTTCGATGGAAACCCAGCTGATTATTTACAATTTGTAAAGGAGTTTGAGATCATGTTGAGTGGTTTTTTATTAAATGATGAATTGAAGTTAATGTATTTGATGAGATATTGCACTGGAGATCCTGCAAGAGTTATACAGTGCTGTAAGTTTATGAAGCCAAAAGAGGGCTACTACGAGGCTATGAGCATATTACATCAAAGGTTTGGAAGACCTTCGATGATTGCAGGGAAATTATTCGAGGCTGTTAAGGGTAATGGTGGTCAATTACAGGATGACTCCCAGGCACTCACTGAGTTTCTGGATAATTTTCTGATTTACAAGAATGCATTGATTTCGATGAATTGCATGAGTGACCTCAACTCGAGTTTTATACTAGAAGTAATAGCAAGACGTCTACCTACTCGACTGCAAAGGAAGTGGGTGAGGATAAGCTCCCGTATGGAGGATAGGGGTATCGAGCCAAAGTTCGATGACATTCTGAAACTGGTAAACAATGGTGTCAACCAATCTATGAGCAAGTTTGCCAGTATATTGAACCTCACCCCTGGAATAGAGCAGTCTGAGGGTAAAACGCAATCATTGATGACGAATAGGCCCCCTCAGAGGGGTGGATATCGAGAAGGCTCCTTGATGTCTAGTAATGCATATAGACCTCGTGAGTGTAACAGGTTTCGTAGTACATCCCAAACTGATAGGTTACGAGATGCAAGACAAACACGGTTTTGATTTACACGTGTGCAAGAGGTGCATACAGAAGTGAACTGTGAATCAGTGAGCAAGTTCAGTGATAAGCTAAATGTAAACTCCAGACCTGACTTTGAATTGTGTGACGATAATAGCGCGGTGAAGAAGCCTGTAGTTGCAGCTGGTAAGCCGTTGTTGAATAGTATGCCAAAGAAGAGAGTTACAGTCCCAGAGGACGCTTCTGACTCCACAAGTTTACAAGGTATTACTAGTCAGAGTGAAGGTATAAAACCTTTAAGGATTTGTGAGGAAGAATCAAAATTGTCTACTTCTGTTATTAAAGAGTTTGAAAATGATGAAGTCGACCAGATAGATGACGGTAAATTGAATATTTGTGATAATTATCATGATACTACACATTTGTCTTTGGGTGATCATGATGAAATGGGGCAATGCCTACTACTGCTAGGTTGAATAAAGGTTCTGTACAACTTAGAATTAAATGCAGATGCAGTTGCAAAAGGCATGCATACTTTTCAAACCGTCAGTGTAATTGATCAGAGTGAAGCCCACCTATCATCAGATGCTAGTGCTAAAGCGGAGCTGAGAGTAAAAGACAGCAGTGGTGGTAATCTTGCAATTAGACGACATTCTGAAAGCCGAACAACAACAGCTTCTGATCCACCGCTTAGTTCATCAACTGGTGTCTAACAGTTGTCGTTGGTGTTGTCAACCACAATGAGAAGGACGCCCATCAACTCAAGCATCTTGTGCTATGACTATGCTAGTATCGGTCAGTTTGAAAAGACGAAAGATATTGCTCAGTTTAGTGAGGATAAGCCAAGTGTAAACGACAGAGTAATTGTTAAATTGACTTGCATGAATAAAGGCATTTCTAGCTTCAATTTAATATTTGAATGCGTCATCTATATTCTACGATACAATGAAATGGGCGTGTTACCGTTCAGATTTGAGGATATAGCTGATAGAAGAAAGTTAGCAAATGAACTCTGCGACGATTTTCCAACCTAGAGCGTCAACCTGAGAAGGGTTGTAGGCGTACTGCTGTAAGTCCTACAATTCTTCAAAGGGTAGCGCATCAGTGAGCAGTCCAATGTGCTCGGTGTGTGATTTTGTACATATGTTCATATTGCATATACTGAATTGATATCATCTGTCATCTAGCTGTTGATAATTCTGTTTGTGTCCGGACGACTTCCACTTGAACCATCAACCTGAGAAGGAATGTAGGCGTACTGCTGTAAGTTCTACAGTTCTTCAAGGGTAGTTTGTCATGCCGGAATCCACAACATTTGATGTAGTGATTGTACATATGTTTGTGTTAAATAGTTGTGTGAGTTCCAATTATCGCAATTGTTGGTT